GTTCTCTCCGGCCTGCTGGTACAGGGCTGTCCACGTGCTTGGGCCATTTCTAGACTAGAGCCAACAACAGCATCAACCTCTGCTGGTCCTTCCTTCATACAACAAGGATATTTAAACCCTAAACCTGAAATCTTACAAGGTTGGCAGCTCTAAATGCTGGCCATTGTACATGTTTTTATCTCACACAGACATAATTATCTTCCTTAAAATATTTTGCTCTGGTGACTACTATGCTCCCGTGGGTCCTTTTTAAACTCTAGGAATTGCTGAAGGAAGGGGGAAAAATGTAATAAGATGTATAAACCAATGACCTTTGCCGTAAGTCACTTTGTAAATTGGGGTGAGTTCTTTATAACTTGGGACCAAGAGGTGGCAAACATTACATTATCATTACCAGTATTATTATCATCATCATTATTATTAGCTATTCAAACTTAATTTGGAATTATACAAGATGGGCATAATTCACCTCAATATTCATCAGATAAAGCCACAACCCTGAGTAGTAAGGGAAATAATTGAAAAGAAAAATGTTTATTCAAGTAAAGAAACCGAATGCATCTTTCATCTCACTACGCCTCCTGTCCCCATCCCTTTTTAAAAGTTCAGTGACCATAGTGACATGGCTTCATATGGTCACTGTGTAATAAAAGTAGTAGCTACGGTGAGGGGCAAATGGGAGTCCTGGCTAAAAGTTCCAGTGTTTGACTTACCCTTGAAGCAGCTGGGGACTTCAAAGGTGCCGTCGATGCACTGAGCATCCTCGGTGTAACTGCACTTCTTTTCCTTATTTTTGCAGAAGAAAGAAACTTTCTGACCATGCAGCATCCCATTCTTAAATTTTTCTTGGATCTTCACTCTCTCTCCTTCGAATATCACAGTAGCTTTTTTAACAGACACTTTACAAGACGCTGAAAGAGACAATATTTGGAGTTAAGACTTAGGAGTTCTATTAGTCTTTCTTACAGAGAATGTGGCCTTTGAGCCTGTAGGTGAGTACATCTGAAATGAATTGCTCAAGACAAGAAGAGTCCAAGACTGTATACACTGAATAACATCAATATCATTCCTAATAGTTCTTTACCAATAGAACCATTAGTCATGGGTTCCAAGGTGGCCTTTTCTTCCCCTGCAGTAGCCACACAAGAAGGTCAGAGCAAAAGCAGCAGATTCTAGGCTTTGGTGAACAGGGACTTTTACCAGATACCGCCATTGCGTGGAAGATCACGCTGGCCCACTCAGAACCCATTTATTGAGCTAATGCACCCACCCATCAGCCACTGTGAGGGTTGGCTGATAATAGCTCACGAACGCTCCTTTTTCTGAAAATTTGCCTTCAGCCTTAAGGACGCCACCTCTCCCAGGAGGTAATGCAAATCAGTCTCCAACCCCAGGGTCAGAGAAGGGAACAGCCTATAGCCAATGACTAACTGACAAGGAGATACAAAAAGCAGATCCTCCTGCCTCTTGGTGGGATCAACTCGGGGGTAAAATTCATGGTCCAGAGCTCCCAAGGAGATGGAACTGAAGCTAGAGACTCTAGCTGAGACCACATACTTGTTCAAAACTTAATTGGATTCGCAGTATCGGCAAACACCCGGGAAGCTGGTAGACATGCAAATTCTCAGCTCCTAGCCCAGATCTACCGCGTCAGAAACTCTGTGGGATTCTGATGCACAGTGAAGTGTGAGAACCAGTCTCCTGCTCCATCCTACCTGCCTCACTCTCTTTCTCCTGACACATTCACTTAATAAAGCAACTGCACTCAAATCCCTGTTTCCGGTTCTGCTTCTAAAGTACCACAACCTAAGACACTAGCCATATGTTATTTTGCCTGCCCTGCCTAATTCCCTTTTTTGCTTATACTGTTCAACCCACAGCAACCTGAGCAGATATATAGTGCTAGGTTGTGATTCTTTGCATAAACATACCACTGACTGTATCAAGGATAGACACCTAACTCAAATGAGTGTCCCAGGAAAAAGATGCATTAGTGATGAGCCCTTTAGTTGAGAGGTCCTGATGTAGAGTCCAGGCAAGTTCAAGGTGAGTAAGCAGAGAAACATGGAGGTGCGAGAAAGCCATTGAGAGATGAAAAAAAAGGTGGCAATTGTTCCTGAATCTCAGCTCCAGTGCTCAGGAGGAATGGTTGTGTTTCATTTCCTGTTCTTCAATGTCCCTCTAATTGCCCGTTTCCCACTTATAAGCCCCCTTTTCCCTTGAAGTAGCTCAACTGTGGGGTTGGCTTTTGCAACAGTGAGAAGAATCTCAACCAGAACCAAGCAGAAACGGATGTTCATAGGCAAAGACTTCAAAGCATTATAGGAAGCCCACATACTCTTACACCATACTATCAAGGCTCATAGGAGATCTGTTTATTTTATACACTTTAATTTCAAATGAGCTTGCTAAGCATGAAGCTGCCCCATGCACCTGTGAGTCTTTCACACTCCAATAGCTGTGAAGCTAGTCTGAGCAATAAGTAGAAAATGATTGGAACAAGCAAGGGGCAAGTAAGGGTGACCCACTGGATAGATTCAGAGACATTTTTAAGACCTCACCCATATTTCATACCTTTGCAGCTTGGTTGTGCAGACCAGTTTCCGAATTTGTTGCATTCTACCTCTTCTGGGCCATCCAAGACATAGGTATCATGGCAACCATAGGTGGCTTTATCCTTGTAACTAAGTGCTTCTTTTGCAGGATAGTTCACAAATCCATTGTCTGGTCTTACTGGGAAGGGGCATTTTACTTCTAAAAAGTTCATTTAACAAGACATATTAGTATAAGTAGTAATGTTGTCCAGTAGTCATGGAATATGCAGTTACACTCTAATATCCCTTATACCATGGATCACTGGGTGTTCCTGTGACTGGAATGAAATTTACAGGTACCTTGGTGCTTAATTCTGTCCCCCTTATCTTATACTCATGGGAACCTGGATATTTTTTTTAAAGATACAAAACCACTTTGAAACTATATAAATGTATTGCCAAGTTCTTTGGGCTGTCACATAATCATAAGGCATTATTTGTTGTGAATTTCAACTCTACGCAGTCTAAGATGGTGAGTTTGAAAGAAGAAAAAAAAAGTTTCTTTTCATCAACAAACCATGAAATTAAAACACAAAGACTCCCTTCATGCACACCAGCACACCATTAGTTGGGTTTTAAATGTTAAATCTAATTCTCATGATTGTCTTCAGACTATACAAGAAGGCAGCACAAAATATGAAGGAGAAAAATGGTGCTGCTTCCAGGCCTTCTTAAGGCCCCAACAGCAGAGCCCCAACCCCGTACCCCAAGTCACCAGAATACAAGAGAGTAAGGGTAGAGCCAGGAGCACAGAGCTCCTGGGAGAGAGAGTATTGAGGTAGTTTAAAGGACAGATTTCAGAGTTGGACTGCTTGACTCAGTGTTGGCTCTTCCACACATCAAATGAGAAAGAATCTGAGTCTATAATACTAAAATTAACAGTCCATGGAAGAGAAAAGCTCTTCTCTGTAGAAGAATGCCAGCTAATCAATATAGAAGGAAAGAAAGAATTAGAATGTCGTCATTTTGCAACCACCAATGTCATAATTGGATCATCAGTGGATGCAAAAATGACGCCTAGAGAGTGCATATCCACACAGTTGTCAAGTATGACCCACAGGTAGCTTACTAATTCCAGAAGGAAAGAGACCCTTTACCAAAAGATCGACCACACCCCCCATTAGCAATGACGACCAGGGGGCAGACGCTCAACGCAGGAGCTGCCGAGCTGCAGTGACTTGGCAGCAGTGGTTCTTGGGTGACACACCAGGAACCAGAAAGGAGGGAGCCTGATTCTAGGGTGCGTCACCCAAGAACCGCCCTCTCATAATTTGGGACCCCTTGGGGGATGTCAGAGAGCTGGTTTTGGCCTGATCCCTGCAGGCCAGGCCAAGGGACCCCACCAGTGCACCAGGCCTCTAGTATTCTTACAATTGTTTAAATGCTTGTTGTTAATACTTCAAAACATGTTAAATGTCTTGGGTACAGTGATAATCTAGGAGAATGCCCTTGTTCCTAGGACATTTATGCTGAAGTATTATGGGTAAGTGCCATGATGTGTACCACTTATTTTCAAGATGGTGATGAGGTCAAATTCAAGGAGGAAGAGTCTGCATAAGTCCTTAAAATCAAATATTTTTTGTGATTCTTACATGTAGGTAAAAGCAGGTAACAATATGACTGCAACCTAGTGTTTTTTCTTTACCTTCATCTCCCGAGACACCCCAGTTTAACCCAGGCTTCTCTTCACCAGCCCTGCCACAATATCCCGCTGTCTGTGCACACACCCTGTTCTTTCATGCCTTCCAGGCTTTCCACATCCTGCGCTCTGTGTGGCATGCCTTCCCCTCATTATTCACTCATCCTCTAAGCCCCTCCCTTGGAAAGCTTTTCCAGGCAGCTCCGGAGAGTTCATTGCATTATATAGACTTCCCCTGAGGTCAGAAGCCAGGTCTCGTACATCTGGCATCCCGAACACCTAGCTCCCCGCCTGGTACATGGTAGAAGCCAACAAGCGTTTGTTGAACACGGTCATCTGGAAGGCAGCTATGCTCACCACTTACCACCAATGCAAAACAAGGCCACTGAAACACCCATAGCGGAATGTTCAGTAGTTTTCAAAAATGGGAATTGCATTATCCTAATGTTTTTCTCTTCTCTTTGCACTTACCCCTGCATTCTGGTAACTCAGTCCAGTTTCCATGCGCTGTGCAGGTAGCGGTGTCATTTCCAAACATGGCGTAGTTGGGCAGGCATTTAAAGACGGCCTGCTTTCCGTAGACTGATCTGTTTCCAGCCAATGGCTCATAAGCACTAAGTACCGCAAATCTAGGTGTGGGTGGTGGAGGGCAGGTTTCAGCTGAAAAAAGAAAGAACTATCATTTTCATGAGGCTTATAGTGCTGAAACCAGAAAAGTCCCAGGCAAATCAACTGGTCACCTTCCCCATAACTGGGACCCACAGACTCACGGGAACACACAGGGAGGTTCGGACTCCATATTCCCTCCTCAGTGCATTGAGCAGATTTAGTTCCATTCAGAAAAAACCTGCAAAAGGAAAAATGTAATCCATCAAACTGGAAGAGAATCCATCGAGAGCTTCTCAAATGTCTTCTCCCTTGGGCACTGCTTTATCAGTGGTTCTCAACCTTCCTAATGCCGCGACCCTTTAATACAGTTCCTCATGTTGTGGTGACCCCCAATTTCATTGTTACAAATTGAACATAATTAAAGCATAGTGATTAATCACAAAAACAATATGTAATTATATATGTGTTTTCCGATGGTCTTAGGCGACCCCTTATGAAAGGGTCGTTCGACCCCCAAAAGGGTTGCGACCCACAGGTTGAGGGCTACTGCTTTAGATGAACACTGTTGACTTCGTTCCCATTACGTGGTTTTCCCGAAGAGCTTAACACACATCTAAGGCTCAAGTCTCCAGCCTAATGCTGCCAGTGAATCGCCAAGGAATGAGAAGGTTCCATAGCTGGTGGGTGTAGGAGCCAAACCCCAAATCCCTCATCTTCAACCAGCTGGATAAACTAACTGATTCTTATGTGAAGCAAAAAAAAAAAATTATTTTTCAGAATCACAACATGAATCAAACTGAGTAATCTCTACTATTCCTTTTCTCAGAGCATATTAACAGGAATGTGTAAAAACTATGCCGTCTAATAGGGTGATCACTGCGTAAGTTATATAAATGTCTAATCACATGGTTGTACACCTGAAACTATTATAATATTGTATGCCAACTGCAATTTAAAAATTAAAAAGAAATTAAACAATCAAAATGCCAATGCAGTCTATTTTCATTGAAAATGTAACCTTCTGTCCTGGAAGCCAATTTTTTCAATGTTGCTTGTCATCAGACCCACTAGTAACCTGTGCTTTGAAGAAAGGACTGCATTTCTCTTTCACACACAGTATGTCTTAATCTCCAATCCCCTTCCTCAGTAAGGTTTTGCCCGACTGCATTGCAGCCAACATGCTATTGCCAACATCACCAGTGGTGTCTTTGCTCAGAAGGCAGATGAGTTATATTACCGGCCACAGGGCTTTCTACCTGGGGGTGTTGTGCTGTTCTGAGAATGAAGAGAACTATGTCCCACAACATCATCCTCCCACCCTTTGCCTCAGAATTCTCTTTAGAGACTACCAGGTCAGTCAATCAAGTTAGCCTCATAACGAAAGCCCAAATCTAATTCCTAAAATATTTTAATCCTCGTGCTAAGATTTGGGCCAGAAATTATAAGGAATTACCGTCTAGTTTCAATAATTTCAATGTACGTCCTCAGATAAGCAACTAATCAGAAGCACCCCAAAATTGGATATATTTCAGTAATTATCATATTCTCCACCCCTTACCCACCCTCAACACCATTGTGTATTTAGTAATTTGTATTCAGCAAGCCCAAGGCTAGAAATAAATTATGGACCAGTCTTAATGTTTAACTTAAGGGCATAGAAATGTGCTTCATCTATTAGCTATTCAGTCACTCAGAAGTCCTTACCCGTTGTTACAAGAAAAACTGATTGTGTTGGGATATTCAAAAGTTGTGTAGCGTACAGCTCCATTTTCTAAGATTCCAGCGAAAGGACACACTCTGGCTGTGATTTAAAGATAAAAAGGTAAATATCTATTTATAGAATTTTGTATTAAAATAAAAATATATAAGCTCCTTTCTATCCTTTGATCCAATAACTCTACTGGTAACTATTCTAAGAAAATAACTAAAATAAGTCAAATGATGTATGCATTAATGTGTTCATTACATAGCTACCTCTAATAACAAAAACCAAACAGCCTAAAAGTTCATGATCAGGGTATTGTGTTAATGAATGATGATAAATCAACTGTATATAATGCAGCCAATAAAATATTGATTAGGAAGATCATAGAGGCATAGTCAATGTTTCTGACATGCTAATGAAAATAGGAAAACACAAAATGATATCTGCTCTTTATAATAATACAAAAATATACACAGAAAATAACTTGAAAAATGAAATTGTTAGTGTTCCAGAGTTATGGCCAATTTAAATTTAAAAATTCCCAAATGATGTTATAGTGGTTTTTCATTAAAAATTCTGTTGGTCTTGCCCTGGCCAGTGTGGCTCAGTTGGTTGTCATTCCATGCACCAAGAGGTTGCTGGTTCAACTCCCGGTCAGGGCACATGCCCGGGGTATGGGCTCAATCCCCAGTAAGGGGCATGCAGGAGGCAGTCATCGATTGATGTTTCTCTCTCTCTCCTTCTCCCTTCCTCTTTCTCTAAAATCAATAAAAACATATTTTTTAAAAATACATTGTTTGGTCTTTTTTCATCAAAGAATATATTAAAACCACTTGTATGGACATGTATAATGTTCACAGAAGTCAGTCCCTATGATTAAAATAACCAGAAGCTAGATAGGTCCATATAGTTATTTTTAGTGCTTAATTTCCACATAAAATTGCCAGAAATCCTCTGGTTGATTGCTCAATATTTGACTGTAAAAATAATGCCAGCTTGATATCACAGAACCCAATTTTGAGGATAAATAAAGGCAACCATCTACCATAAAGCAACAATGAAACATCAACGTATATAATTTATGTTACATTATTAATTTAGTATAATCTGTAGTATATTTATACTTTACTATAAATATCACATGTAATCTATAACAATAAAAGCATAATATGCTAATTAGACCAGATGTCCTTCCGGATGACCTTCCGGACAAAGCGGGTACTAGGAGGGCCGAGGCAGAAGTGGCCGCAGCGGCAGGTGGGGGCCGAGCCCCTTGCACGAATTTCATGCATTGGGCCTCTAGTATATACATAATTTAGATAAAATTTATTGACATTTCAGTAACTTTTCATTCTGTTTTCATTTTGAGGCAAAGTCCTGAGATATGATGATTCTTCATGTTTTATTTTCAAGAGTCTCCTTGGCATCTGTTTCAACTTCAGAGTAGCTGTACTTCTTTTTTCACTTCTGCAGAGTCTCCCTCTCCTTTGATCATACCAGGTCTCTTTTATACAGCTCTCCCAGCTCTATGCTAAGTTTGTCTCTCCTTCTCTAAATAGTACCTACCGCCCTTGGTCTCATCTCCCATGGAGAAGCCCTCGGGCCCTCTTGTTTCTTCACAAGACTCCCCTCTCCCCCACAGCTCTGCTGGCCTTCCACACGCGGAACATGATAAGGTAGGTTATCTGCCCAAAATGTCCAGAATTGGAGGGAGGGGCGAGAATGTGCACAAGGCGCTGACTTACGTGTACATCTCAGCGTGTTGATGGGCCAGATTCCGGTGAGGGGGCAGGTAAACCGTCTCATCCCTCCGCGGGACACATAGCCCGGCTTGCAGAAGTACATTATCTGCTCCCCTGGATCATAGGATGTTTTTAAGGGGGTAACTGTGGCAAACGGTACATCATCTGGCCTGGGGCAGGCTGAAACAGAGCACGAAGCAGTTGGTTAAGAAATCTATAGGTGCATTTTTTTAAGTTCAGCTGGCATAGAAATTAAAACTCATTAATGCTTTCCAAAAGTAACTCTACCAAGTCCTGTGTCATATCTCATCTAATCTCAACCACCCTTTGAAGGGTACTGTTGTTATTCCCATTGTATAGGTCAGGAAACTGAG